ACATTGTGCAGGGATTCAGCCGAAGCTATAAATACCACATCACAAACATGTAAAAAGAGACGAGTTTTTATTGGTTATATACTGTAGAGCTGACAGTGTTTGAGTCAGGAGAGACATGCAGATAAAGTGTGTGTTTACATTTGGCATGCAGACTAAGAGCACTGTAACTGGAAGGAGGTGAGCACCATCTGTATTCACTGCATGGGCAGCCTGGGGAGGAAAGAGCTGGCTTCCCTCTGTTGAGCATGCTGAGACAGGGAGAGTTTTGAGAGGGTGAAACAGTGCTGATAGCGCTATTGGACACAAAGTTTGTTTTAGGGAAATAGGCAATACTATAACCCTGGAAAATTTGCTTAACTTGGATGAGTCTGTGATTATGAAAAGATTTCTTGCATTATTTGTCTTCTAACTAAGCTGCCCCAGCCCAAATATATGTCTGCAAATACAAAAAAATAGATTTATTCTCTTAAAAATACATTCCATGCAGCCTGGAGTGCTGCTTCCCCAAGGCAGGAGCCTGCACTGCATGCTGGGCAGTGGAAGATAATCCTTTGGGTCCTTAGGTTACTGACCACCAGAGGCATCTGCAAACAATGGCTTCATGTTTCATCACATACAGAGCAGTCCACTGGAGGCTGGCCTTGGAGCAGTGCTTTGACCACTCCAATGGTGTGCAAGGGTGGCAGAGATACTATATTAGAGAGGACACCAGTGTGACTATTGCTTCAATTTGTAGCTCGGAAATTGCTCATGTCAAGTGTCTCTCGAAGCACCAAGGTGTGCCACCCTGCCCTGTGTTTCCTGCCCTTTTCCTTTCCTGGAGCTACCATCTGCAGGACTGCGGGTCTCTCCTTGTCTGTGTCCAGTGAGCTGCAGTTTGACAATGCACGGCACTGGTGGTTGCACTGCGAAGCTGTCACCCCTCCATGCTACCTGAGCAGCTGGAAGGGCGTTGCTCTGCATGTTGCAGTGGTGTTTCTGGACACAAAGGAAGCCGCTCTGTGAAGCAGCAAGCTGCTGGCCCCTCAGGCTGGTGCCAGCCATTCTGAGGAAAGCTGCTGGCTCTCCAGAAGGGACCAGCGTCTCTGTTTCCTTGGGAGAAGCAAGCACTGACACACTTCCTCTGTACAGCAAATACATTTACAACTTTGGAATTACCCGAGTGCTTGATGTGCAGCCTTGTGGCATCATCAAGCCCACTGAAAAGCCTGTTATATTTATATGCTAAAATTACAAATACTTCTTCAGTGATGGCAATATTTACACATATACTCTATTTTACAGCTGTTCAAAAAAAGTGTGCAATTTGAGTAAAACACATTGTGTTTCCTGAAGTCATTGCTATAAGTTTAATAATACAATCAGCTCCTATTGCACTCATGATTAGAGGGCATGGCCTCTTTCAATTTTAAGGAGGGTTTTCTTTCTCAGATTTAATCCCGGTTGTGGTAAAAACAACCCAGTGTACAGTTACTGAGTGACATCTGTGTTCATTATTTACAAGCAGTGAGACTGAGTCTAGAGCAAGAGTTCAAGGTATGATGTGCTGTAAAATATTGAACAAATGACTGAGGCAGCTGGAGAAAGGAGAGATGTCACCTGTGAGAAGCACCTGAGAGCAGATAGTGCCAGAAGAGCTGCATTACTGGGTCAGTAGCTGGGGCTCCTGCTGTGTTCTGTGAGCCGGCCGAGCAGCAGGGTGAAGCCCTCTGGTTGCCCATGGCTAAGGAAAAGCCTGGTCCTGGCTGACAGAAGGGGAAAACCAACAGCTATTGCTGCTAGTGTTTTCTCCCTTGCACTTCAGACATGGGGTTGCGTTACTGGGGTGAGCTGTGGGGTTGAAAAGTTGATGGGTAAGCCAGAGTTCTGTGAGTACGTACAGGGAATCCTGTGCTAACCTAGCATGTCATGTCGTAGGGTTGCAGGGCTTTCCTGCCCAGGACTGAAACCAGGTCTCTTGGAAGGAGCTTTGGAAGCACCATGCTAAGCTGGATCCATGCCAAGAACATGAGAAGGAGAGGGCTGGTGGATGTGCATGGGCACCCAAGTGTCTTGTGGGATGTGGACCACTGTCCTGCAGCAGGACGGGGGTCATCACTGGGAGGAAAGCCATACAGTTGCTGCTCAAGTGATCCTCTTCAGTGCATATGTGCTGTCCAGCTGTTCGTAAAACTAAGCTGCAAGTCCTGGGCAGCAGTGACACGGGGGAGGGGGAAGGCCCTCCTAAATATGCTGCTTTGTGAGACTGAACTGCAATGCCAAGCAGGTCATCAGCAGCGGTTCTTCCATGGTGACTGTAACTGGGTATATATTATATGGCTGGAGAGCTGCTTAGCAGCAGGTTTGGGAATGTAAACGGAGGTAAATAATTACTGTGCTGTCTGAAGAGGCAGGTACATGCCAAGACACCTCCAAGATGCAAACTCCCAGGTTCAGCAAGCAGGTACTGCAGGAGGCACTTGGGCCGCTCGCTGCAGAGCAGCTGCACTGTCTTGGAGGGATTTTTGCAGCAGCATCTCCCATGCAACGGATGGAAGAGGACCTGAGGCAGCATATTTAGTTTTGAAGAGAAGTATTTTCTTTAACATGAAAATAAGGGGCAAAGAGTCAGAACATAGCATCCTGAGGCTGGCAGAGGCTGGCAAGCAAGCCAGCCCTGTGAGAGCACTGCTGAGATGTGGCACTTCTGGTCAGGCTGCAATTCTGTTTATCAGCTGTGGAAAGCCTGCAAGATTGCACAACGAGGCAAGGGAAGGTGATGCCATTCAAGCAGTCGATATCAGTAATGTCTTTTTTTGTGTGGTGGTGGTGATGATCCTGCCATACAGTTAACCTCTGAGCAAAGCAGGGTGCTCAGGGTGGATATTGCAATTCACAGGCTCGTTTAAAAAAAAAAAATCCATTGTGATTTCAGATTGCAAAATATGCACTAATTTTCCATACTTCCTGATAAATATGGGGCAGGGGAGGCATTTCAGAATGCTGAATTTAACTTCAGAATTTCAGTTTCTTTCACTTTTAGTTTGGATTTTGAACTTAAAAATTTTTTCCTGTTGTACTTGATAATATATTTATCCCATTCTCTACTAGCATTGCCATGTCATGAAATGGTAAGAGATAGCAGCTGATATAATTTAATATAATTTAATTTTAAGATTATTAGAGCTGCCACTTAGTACTAATTTAAGAGCATTATCTTTTTGTCTTGTTATGCAACTTGGCGCTCATACATGTAATGAAATATAAAAGAATAAAATGAAGGGTTAAAAATATAAATTTGGGAAACCATCTAAAAATTGCAAAAGGAAACACTTTTTTTTCCAAAATATTTTTTCCCTTCCTCCAAACAAGATTAAAAAAAAAAATCATGTCATTGAAAAACTTTCCTTTTTATATAAATGTTTTCATTGATGTTTTCCAACCAGCTCTGGTTTTTTGATTCATTTGCCTCTCAGAATTGAGGCATATAATTCCAAGGGACAGGGAGGAGATTTGGCATATAGATGTGCATGTATGGATAGTCACACGCGCACTGCTGTGGTAGCTGCTCATCTGGAAGGCGAGATGAGTGTGGGGTGCAACTCAGACATGGGAGCTGCTGGGTCGCAGCTGTTCCCGCAGCACCTCCAAAACAGATAAGGGACCTTTTTCCTTCTGTAAGCATTGCCCTTGTCCCTTTGCAGAGAGGGGCATCTGTTTCCAACAGGCAGAAGAAAGCACCGGGGGAGGTCAGTGGTGGTTGTGTACAGGACAGGAAAACTGTGGGCCAGCCCTGCAGCTGGGTGGTGGGATGTAAAGGAAGGACTGGCAGCGCTCTGACTGTGTAAGCCAGATGCAATCACCTTGCTCAGGGCAGATGCTGCTCCAACACCTGAGCACCTCTTGGAGCTGCAGGAGCGGTGTCTCCGCCGACAGTGATGCCATGTGCACTCAGTGGCCTGTGGGAACTGACAGGGTAACGTACCTCTGTATTTGAAGCAGTCTCTCGCCATACCTGGGTCCCAGACATGGCGGATGGGGTGGTCCTGAAGAGGGGCACAGACCGAGGCCGCCTAGGTAGCCATACTGGAGCTCAGCTTAGGGTCCAGTCCTGCTGTCTCCACCGTGTTTTTGGAAGGAACAAGGACATTCTGCTTGTCTGCAAGAAAAAGCACTTGTTTCTTTTTCCCTTAGAGCTCAACTGCTGAGAACGAGAAGAGTTGCTGCCTGCAGAGCACGATGACATAAAGCTTCAGGTAAAAAAGCACCCCAGTCCAAGTCAGGAGGAAGTTTCACTGCTCTAGAAACTGCTGTTGGTTTGGCTCAGAAGATGACTTCTTGGCGCAAGATCTCAGCTGGTGAAGAGTAGGTCATGCAAAGCTTGTTGCAGAGGCTGACAGCAATAGGGAAGAAACTGCTTCTAAACAACATTTTCTGCTCTCCTTCCCTCTTAATGTGTAAAGCAACCAGTGGGGAATGGTTTCCTCCTGCCTAGAGACAGAGGGTGCTGGGAACACAGGTATTGAGGTGACCACAACCCAAGCCAACAAGGGTGAGAATGTAAACTCTCACTAGGAACTGAAAGCTTTCAGTTGTGGAGCTGTGTAGGTCAGCTGTCATGGGCTGGTGGAACGTAGTCACAGCGATACTTCTGGAATCTTGTCTAAATGCAAGTGATTAACAAGAAGTTCTCTCTTGTCCGGGGAGTACCATCGTTCAGAGTGGCTATGCAGTCAAGGTTTCCATATGGAGACAGACCTATCATCCTATGGAGGAGATTAAGATTGCAGATGAGAAGTGGGAGTCCCCTGAGCAAAGTCTCTGCAGCTTCCTCTTCAGCAATGAAGAAAAAGAATTCACTGGTAAAGCTCCTGTACCTTGCAAATCGCATTAGAAAACTGGTTTCAGGCTAGCTGAAGCCTCTGGAGAGGTTACAAACAGGTGTGACGCCCGTGAGCTTGGTACTATCCTGCCTCTTGCTCCACTGTGCAGCATGTTCATTGAGTGAAAGGGAATACAACTCATCTCCGAGATGTTGTCCAGCAGGCACGGGAAGCACCCTGTAAGAGACAACCCCGCAGCATCACAGACTGGCCAGGACGCGCAGCTGCCTCTGGCAGCATTTTTGCTCTGGGGAAGAGTATTGTGATTGCCATCCCAAAGCCTATGAGGATCCTAGCCCGATGGTGGGGCAGCGGAGACCAGAGGCAGGATCAGTTTGGAAGATACAGGTTCTGTCAGTGTTTGCAATGAAGTAAGCCCAAAGCAGAACGACCCGGCCCTGTCCCACACAGGCAGGGCCTATTATCTTTTTTTATGCTGTGGTGTACCCTGCACCCACTTCCACACACAGCATGTGGATCTGGCAAGTGACATGCGGAACACCTGACAGCACAAAGGAGATGGAGCTGATCTAATGTCAGAGCACATCTCCATGTGCAGGGTGTTCAGGCTCCTGTTACAGTCAGTGGAGATCTGGGCAAGACACAAGACCCAAGTGATGGTGTGTATGTTACAGGGACCTGACTTTACCCAAGCTTTTATTTGCTGTTGACCCAGTCTGTGCAGACAAAGGAAGCACAGCACAGCCTCAGGTACAGGAGTCTGCATCTGGCCAGATGAATGTCACTGTGGGTAACACCTCTTAGTGACCACACAGAGCATCGCTGTGGCGTCCCTTTCCTCAGCTACCAACAGGGACAGTGTCAGTTCACTGCTCACTACTGCAGACATTACATGTCTCTAAATGCCAGTCTGCAAAAGTCAGCTGGGACCACGTCCCTCTGGGCTCTTAATTTTGTGCAACTTCACTAAGAGGTATGACTATGTAGGGCTCTCAGCTGCCTCACTGCAGTCCTGCTGCTCTCACATCAAGACTCAGCAACTACTGTGCACGTCCAATAAGATACACTGACGACAGGTTTGAGGTCTTAAGATATTTCCTGCTGTGGATGATCCATAAATGGAAAGATGCACTTTGCTCTGGGCGGCTGCACAGGCAAAGAGGGAATGCCAGGAGAAAAAGCAAGTCTTTTGTACAGACATAAGCATAGCTGTGCACCTAGGAATTAAAGTCTGCCCAGACCCCTATCTCCTCTGAAGGGAGCCCCCTGTGAAGAGGCTGGAATACATGTTTTTTTCATATTTCAGGCAATAAATGATAGTCACTATAATGTGGGCCATTTTCCACTTCTTTGTGTGCCCAGAAAGATGTGTTTTAGGAGGCAGAGCAGCAGGTATATAGCAGCAGACAAGCACCCCAGTAGTACAGCAGCCAGCTGAAGCAGATAAGTCAGGGGCTCTGATTTTGTCTCTCCAAATGTTTTTTTTCCATCCCTGATTGTCCAATATGTGCCAGAGGATGGCTAGATGCAGTGCCTCCTATGCCCTGGAGAATGTTTTTAGCCATAAAGCTAACTGAAACAAGTTCAGAACTGAAAAATAAGGTAATACTTTTTTACCAGTATAGGAAATGAGGCAATACAGTAGACACTCCACCTCTGGGCAGTGCTAATTTAAGACTGGATTTCTCCTAAAAGGTTTACATTCATTTTGGACAAGTTCTGTAAGTTATGTTACTGGGAGGTCAGTTCAGATACTGGCTTCTTGCCTTGTAACTCTCTTTTCTGGATGGTCCTGGAACTCATATACCTGCTCCTCCACTTGGAGACCCAGTGATGCATGGGGGTTGGATTCAGGGTCCTGCAGCTCCATCTTGGTGGCTGGCCTTTTCCCTGGTGTGTCAACCTGTGAGATGTACTCAGAAGAGCCGTATTGTTTTCTTCTGGAACTGGGCACAAAATCTCTGCTTTCATCCTGTGTGAAGGAAAATAAAAGAGGGTTGGGACTCAGGGACTGTGAAGGGTTCTGGAATAGCACTGGGTTCCTGGTGCTGGGTTTGCAGTGTGAGGTGCTGGCTTGAGTCTCTTTGGCAAGGAGGGACTCGGAGCCACCAGGCCAGCTCTGGCATGCCCTCAACTTATGTGCTATTTCATAAAGATTTTTTTTTAAAACCATCCAGTAATTTTAACTCAAGTTATGGGTGTGGAGTCTTCTGTTCAGTTGGGTGACCGGTGCACAAATCTGTGCTCGGCCTGCGTGGCTCACTGGGCCCAGAGTGCTTGTATCCATGAGGGACTATCAGCAGAAAATTCTATGGTTTAGTGACTGAAGTAGTTTCTTAAAAGTAGTAACTCTTGAGTTTTAACTACCATGGGTGGGATGTGGCCAGCAACCTGAATCTCCCATTTTCTTGGCAATGAGGATGTGATGTGGGAGTGTCCTACGCTGTTTTCCTGCTATAGGCATCGAAATGGCACTTTTAAACTCACTAATAGTTTCGTGAATGTCTGCAGAGACATTTATGGGATGATACCCTGGGATTCAGATGCCTACGGTCTGCCTTAGGGCTGGTTGGGTCACCCGTGTCTTTTACTGAGGCTGCACGCTGCTGTGAGTCGTGGGGGTGAGGAGTCCCTGTCACCCTCCAGCTCCCCGGGAAGATGGCAGTGCTTTTGCTGTTGCTGTCACTGGCTGGAAAACCTCCTTATCCACAAGTTCCAGCACACTGTAAGGCACCATCACGTCAACATCAGAAACAAAACAAATCATTACAATGTTGAACTTACAATTGCAATAACATAATCAGCTACTGGGCAAAGCGCAACAGCTGCACTGGGCTACTGAAGGCTTTATCAGCTCTGCTTGCTTTGGGGATGGCATCGTGTTTGCTGAAACACGTAGTGCACGGCCCTGTGAAGGGGCTGCAGCCACTGGTGGAACAGATTTGGTCCCTGCCCCGTGGCAAAACAGAGAGCAGGGAAGGGAGAGGCAGCAGCCCCCATGCCTGGCAGAAAAGCATGTCTGAGATGGACACCAGGCTTTGATGGGCTCTCAGAAAGAAGGTGACATCTGATGCGTCTGGATGGGCAAATATCTGCCTTCAGCAGGCCCCACTGTGGATGACATCCAGCAAACACTGGACCTGACCTCCCCCTTATGATCCAAGCCCTACAACAGAAGTGAGACGTGAGCAGCAGCAGCGGCACCTCGGTGAATAGGCACAACACAAGGACAGGTCCCACAGGGGCCTCCAACCAACCATGGGCCAGAGATAACTATGGTGGGCCAGGCTGCTCATAAAAGTGAGGTGATAATTTTAATTTAATGAATGGCAGTCATCTTGATGAACCTGGACAGCTTAGCAAGGGCTAAGCACCTCTGTATTTCTGATACAGTAATTTTTAGAGATAAGGTCACTGGGTGAGCACACAGGAGTTCCATCCCCTTGGGCATCTGACAGTGTCAGTCCGTTTCTGCTGTCAGGCAGCATGAATTTATGACTAATCAACCCAGATACTCGGGTGTCAAAGAGTTTCGTAGGTAAAGAGCTGAGCGAGGGCCATCAGGCTGACCACCCCCCATGTGTCAGCAATGCAGACCAGTACCTCCTGGTACCGCACCAGAGCTGGATCAGTGCGGAGCTCAGCATGCTCCATGGCACCCCAAAGGACAATCAGCTGGTCACTGACAAGCGCCTGGGAAGCTGCTCTGAACAGACTGTGACGCCCAGGATTTGCACAAAACAGAACCGAACCCTTGGACAAAGTTACTGACATCCAAGGAAAGATGAAATCACAGTGACTGGCTGCTTAAGTAGAAGCTTACGTGGAGTCAGCAAGGTGATGGATGCACTTTCTATTAGTCCCTAAAGCAGAGGACAGAAGGGGCGAGAGGCAGCACATCCCTGGATACTGTCAGGGAGACTTTTTCATGAGACCTGCCCACCATAAGAGGGTACAGATAGCTTCACTTGAAGAAAAGCCTACCTTTAGTTTTTACCTCATTTAGGCGGCACACAGCCCAGTTCCAGTTGTATTAATGTCACAGCCACAAGAAAAACAAATTAAGTGCATCCATCTTGCATTGTTGCCTGCTCATCTGCTTGCTGCCTGCCAGTGCCTTTGGACTAATTTGGGCATTGCAAATTTTCAGCAGTCAAACCAGAGAAATACTGACTTCATTATCTGAAACACGAAGCCCAACAGAATGACTGCTTGAGGTCTTGCTTCTCCTCAGGTCTTTTATGGGACCCCGAGAAAGGCTGGCTGCAAGCACTAGAGGGAGCTGGTCCTCAGGCTGCAGCATCCATCCATCAGCACCTACCGCCTTCTGGTCTCCCAAGGCAGCACTCCAAAGAGCTGCTGCTTCTGTAGCACAAGTATTGCTAAGAGCTGCCGATACCTCCTGTTCTAGCTTCACTAGGGACATTTGCCTACATCAGCGGTACAAAAACGGAAGGCTGAAATTACACTTTGTGCCTTGGCATCTCCTTGCAAGAATTATTTCCAAGTGCTCAGTTTGGGTCTGTCCTGAGGGACAGGCTGAGGCAGGGGCTGAGCCTCCAGCTTGCTTTAGCCTTCTGCTGTGCTGCAGCAAATGGTCAGACATCATGAGTATTTCATGGAGGAGAGGAAGATGTATTTTGGCAAAACCAGCAGAGACCCCGTGTTTCCCAAACAGGATTCTTAAGGCAAACTCAGACTTTGGAAAGTGGAGCTGGGAAGAGGTTACAGTGATGCCTTCACAGGGAAGCTGAATGTGCAAAGTTAGCATAGATCAGTGCCAAGCCTTCTGCCAGAAAAATAGCTACATCTTTAACTGAAACACAGATGCCAGCAGAAACAGACTGCTTGTGATATGAGGCATATTATAAGCCTGAAGATACCCTTCAAAAGCAGATACTTTGTTTTTTTCCCAAGGGCATATGCAATAATTTGAGCTGCCCAAATACATAAAATTTGGTGTATCTGGACTATCTGTGTATCTGCAGTCTTTCAGGGTAACTTCACGCTCCTCATTTACAAGCTAAAAATATACTTAATTTATGACCAAGAATTCAGGTTTGTGACTATGTGGTGTCAGGGTGATGGATCCAAGTATGATGCAGAGAGATACCTAACTCAATACTCACAGCCCTGTGTGAACTAACCACGTGGTTGCTTTCCTGACTGCTTGTCACTGCAGACACGGGCAAGGCTGGAAGCCAGCTAATTCATCAGGGATACCCAGGATGACCACGCAGAGGTCAGGTTGCTCTGTGAGGTACACTTCAGCTGCTGTTGTAGGCACACCGCATAGCTAGCAAATTTGATCAGACAGTGACCTTTAGACCACCCACGGAACGTACTGCAGAGCAATACTCAGCCCTGGGTGGTCTGCTAGGGGGAAGATGGGAAAGAAATATGTGAGTGCCCAGTCTTTAGGGCTCCATGACTGACCACATGTGAGGCCAGCTGCAAGTGGAGACCTCTTCAGCTGTGAGACTCAAGGTTGTGGGTGCTGTGAATTCAAACTCCTGGGATAAACGGCGGCCCAGGGATGGATCTCCCATTTCCCAAGCACATAAGTTGCCATTATGCAAAAGGACAACCTCAGTCATGTCAGTTCTGCCTGGATTCATGAAAGAGAAGTACAGACTGCCTGTGACCCATGAGTGACCCTGGCCAGGGAGACGATGTATCCTCAGTGTCCAAAAGTAGCTGGAAGGCAACAGACACTCTGCAAAGCAAAGGTGCAAATTCTTCTGTGCTTCTCATTGCCAGAGAAGTGGAAGAGAAGTTTCGCAAATCTAAAACTCCTTTTGCATCTTCACCACCTCATCTTTGTCAATGCCAGAGTCATTTGGTTGTGAATTTGCCCCCTCTGCCACCAGCACTACCAGATTACTCAGCGGGGCTCCTGGAGACTGGCAATGGCAGCAGCTGTTTAGAGCAGCTCTAAGCAAAGAGCAGAGGCAGGAGCTGCAGCAGGAACCACAATGTGGTTTAATGGACTGGAGGGGCACTTGGTGCCAGAGAGCTCGCTTAAAATATGCTGGAGCCTGCAGCTCTGGTGGCAAGAATAGCTCACCAGACCAACTGTCTGCATATGTCAGCCCTGCTTTGAGGGATTCCCCTCACTGGTACCAGCCAAAGGAACAGGAGAAGAGCGCAGCCATCCCTGTGGCTCTTGCTTCTTTTCAGGTGGCATATTGACACAGACCAAGGAGGGAGCAGCCCTGTGTAACCAGCCACCACTCATCTGTTTAGGAGATGCCCGGGAAACATTTCCAGACCAGAGTCTGGTTTCACATGGGGAAACCATGCAGCTCTTACCAAAAGGAGCTATATCTCTACAGCTGCCGTTAGAGCTACAGCTCTGCCTGAGGCACAACCCTATTAAAATCTGCTCATTTCCATCATTTTTTCTTTACTACTCCAAGCTGACAGTGCCATGCAAAGCCACTCTGAAAAGCATACCATGTCCTACATAAGCTGTGACTATGTGTTCTCTGATCTTGGCAAGACCAAATGCTACTATATAGTTATTCATATGGCATTACAACATCCAAGCAGATGGATCTAATTTCAAGAATTCTAAATCTGGTACTTCACATGTGAGATGCTCCACTAAAGATAGCAGGAGCTGGGAGAGGGCAGCACTTCAGGAAATAAGCTGTAAGAATTTCAAATCAGGCACCCTACAACTAACAGGCAACTTGGAAAACCTCATCAGCTGAAAGACAAGAGTGTTTAACATAGGATACTTACAGGTAGCATGGTCCGGTGCCATGCAGAAGCCGCTGCAGGATCACTTGCATAGCTCCTGCGTGTTAGCAGTTCAGATGCACTTAAGTTACTCTTGGTCCTTCGGGACCCCAGTTCAGGGGCACTCCAGGAATTAGCCGTGGCACTGGTCCTTGCTGATGTCTGCTCCAGGGAGTTTGTTCTTGCACTATTCCCTTCCATTTCTGTGAGATCCACTGAGGACCTACATACGTTTGTACGACTGGAAGCTGCACTTTTCTCCACTTTGGTTTGAGAGTCCTCCAGGGAATGTAAGCCTTGTCTTGTTCTCCAGGAACTTCTCACAGTGACATGTTTTGTTTCGGATGAAGCTGCATCTGAAGAGCCGTGGCTCTTCCAGTTGATTGTCTCCGAAGGTGGCTCACTGTTCCTCTCTGTGAGTTCAGAAGTCTTTATCATAATGCTGCTTCTGGAGACCACTGTTTCTGCTTTACTTCTCGGCACTGCCTCTCCAATTCTGTCCATCTCAGATAATTTCAGAGCACTTTTATTAATTGATATCTCGAAGGGTGTGGGGAGATTGTTTGTTATTGGTGAAGGCTCATTTGGAGCAACTCTGATGTTGCTGGTGGTAACATGTCTTTCCTTTGCTGCTATATCTGCACTGGTCCTTGGAGCTGTTGGCTCAGAAGGGAAGATTGTGATGCTGCTTGTCATTTTATTTGTTACCATTTTAAAAACAGACTTCTGTTTTTCTGACTCTGCCTCAGAAACAGTCCCTCCCATGACTGCCTTCATATCCTTTTCAACAATTGCAGGTTTAATGACAGCTTTTGATCTCAGAGCTTCTCTCGGGCTGAACGACCTTCTGGATTTAAATCCTCCAGTGCTGGCATCTGATGGTTTTATACACTTGGTGGAGTCTTCATCATTTACAGTGTTTTTGTCATTTTCAAAAAGTGATGCTCTAAAAACTCCCCTGGAATTGGAGAACTGCTTAGAACTGACTTTCTTTCTTGTCTCAAAATCTGACTGAGTGGTTATTCTTCCCGATTCTTCATTTGAATTAAGTTTTTCCTGGTTACTCTGGATGCTTTTGGAGTCTGTTTTTAAGCCAGCATTTACGTGATCCGTTGCTGCAGTTGAGGACTGCTCCGTGTCTTCTTTATCAAGACCTGTGAGAATCTGCAGAATGTCTTCCTGACTCCTGGAGCGATGGGAACGCTTTGTTAGTGTTGAAGGCTTCGCACTTTCAAGTGATGTGTCTGCAAATTCTTTTTCCTGGGAAATTATTGCTCTTTTAGCCCTCCCCTCCAAGGGCTGCCTGTGTGACACAGCAAAAGTGTTCACTGCTTCTGCTTTAGAACCAGTGGAGTCCGATGCTGACACATGGGAGGAGAGGTGATACCTGTACGCTGAAGCTGTACCGTTGGTAGAGGCGTGATTACCTCTGGCGAGCAGCGTGTCCCCCAAGCAGTCACTGACTTCTGCCTGACTTGTTTTCAGCTTCTCAGCCAAAGAAGCCACTGATTCTCCTTTGCTTGACTTTTCATCCCTTGCGTCAGCACCGGTTTGGCAGTTGCCACGGAGCACCTGAGATGGCTTTTCAGCCTTGGATCTCAGGCCTGCGTCACCAACAGGTTTGGAAGGTGCTTTCCAAGATTTCTGCTCCTGTGCAGCAGGAGGATATCGGCTGAGGACAGATGGCTGCTCTTTTGATCTCTTCCCCTCATGCTGTGTGACGTAGCCTTCCTTCTGACCAGAAGAAAAAGTGGAAACTAAAGATTTCTCTTCCAGTCTTTTTGTATCTGTCACAGCAGTGTCTGAAAGGGCAGATGCACCAGATGCTTTTCCTGCTTTTCTGTTCATTAAGCTTGGACTGGGCACCTGCTTAACACCGTGGCTGTAGCTGTCGTTACCGACAGAGAAATCTCTGTTCCTTGCTCTTTCCCGGCGCTGCTGCGGTGAGAGCTCCCTTGGCTTGTGCTTCGCAGCTGTCAAATCAGCTGTGACACCTCTGTATTTAGGTCTGTCATGTCTTCCTGTGCTGGAAAAGCTTGTATCTTCATTTTCGACCTCTCCATTCTCCAGATCTTTCTGTTTCTTTATTTGCATTTTTATTTCTTCTAGCTGACCAGTTAAGAGTTTGTTTTTATTTTGTTCACTCAAGTAACTGTCTTGCAGGTCATTGTTTTTGGCTTTCATTTTTTTAAGTTCTTCTTCTAAAGACTCAAAACGTTTGATCTGAGTTTTAAGTTTCTCAATTTCTTGGGTGAGATCTTTCACTTTGTTGTCTTCCTGATTTTTATTCTTTTGGTTTTCTGATTTGTTCCTGGTTTCATTTTCTACATGTTTCAGGTAATCCACACTTCCCTTCCTCCTGGTCTCCTTAGAGGGCAACACAGAAGTCAAGTCATCTTCAATTCTCAAATCATTTCTGTCCAGGAGATTATTTGATGACCTTTCTAGCAAGTTGGATGCATTTCTAGTTTGATCTGCCCTATTGAGTTTATTGTTTTGTTCTAGTTTCTGTGTTAGCTCCTGGATTATTTTTTCATTCTGCTTTTCTCTTTCATTAAAATGTTTTCTTTCAGTGATAAAGCTCAGCGCTAAGGATTTCAGTTTTTCTAACTCGCCCGTTAAGCTCTGCTCAGTTTTATCCAGCCTGTCCTCAGATGCTTCCAGTTCTTTCACTTTCACTCTAAGTATTTCTAATTCTGTAGATATCTTTTTGGTCAAGTTCTTTTCTTCATTGAGGCTAAGACACAGCTGTGTACAGTCGTTCTTGCTCCTGCCGAAGGCCTCCTCCAGCTTCTCCAGCTCTGCCATTCTCCTCTGAAGGTGTTCGATTTCTGACTTCAGCTCTCGGGTGAGGCTCTCTTCCTCTTCAAGTTTTTCTTTCATTAACCGGCAAAGCTCTTCAGCCTTCCTAATTTCTTCATCCTTGCCTTCGATCTTCAGCACTCTTTTCCGCAGGGCTTCAACGTCAGCCAGCATGCTAGAGTTGCTGCCTTCTGCCTGGATAACTTTGTCCTGGAGGTCAAGCAGCTCATCCTCTGCTTTCTGCAGATTTTTGGTTGCTTCCTCCAGTTCATCAAGGCGGCGACTGAGACTCTGCAATTTGAAACGTAGGTGCCGATTTGAGGTTTCCTTGTAACCTGTAAATTCTGCCATGTTTATTTTTTATTCCTTTTAGGTGAAAGCTTTGCTTAGTGTAGGTGAATGGTGTGGTCTTTTACACCTTGTGTATTCCTGGTACCTTACTGTTTCTTTGAACAGAGGCAATCTCACCCTGAAAGAAAAAACGCTTAAAATCAATATAAGAGCTTAGAATATAAATATTCTCACTGTGTAAGTTAGACTATAAATGTTTATATAAATAACTTTTTAATTAAACACATTTCTGAGTGCTAAATTAGGAGAAATGAAACTGCAGAGAAGAGCCACAGTCCATTTACTTTGGTTATACACGGTTTCCAAAAATAGCCTGTTCTCAATAGCTGAGGGAAGGAAGTGCCCTCCTCTGCTGGTCTGCACAGGGGGTGTGTGCACAGCTGGTGGACCCTCACCCCAGTGCTCAACAGTCAGTACAAGCTGCCTGTGTGCAAGCTCTTGGGTTGCAGAGATTCATGCACGTGCAGGATTCGGTTCCTGTACACGGACATGCCCACGCAGCAGACACCTCTCTTTTCAGCCCTGCACCCGTCTCCTGAAGACACCTTAGAGATGGAGATTCAGGAACCATAAACAAGACCTGGAAACTAGAAAATGCAACCCCCAGCCATTTGATGGCCACCGAGGAGGGGGCAAGCCCCCCCACACCCAGCTCGCAGACGGAGGGTGTGAGAGCTGCTGCCAGTTGGCACTGGCAGTGCATCGCTGCCAGTATTTCTCCTGTAGCCCAGGCTGCTCAGCAGAAATCTTCACCTGGGTTGTAGTCACATCCCAACGACACCGTGCCAGTGGAGTTTCAAGTTTCTCCCTCCTGTTTCAAAAGCTGTCGTTGCCCTCAGCTGCCACCCACTTGGCCACCCAGGAGATGAGCAGTTGCGAACGCTTATGCCTCTCCTCCTTACTGCCACTGACAATGAGCAGTGATTATAACACACAGGCACGCTCTGATGCACTAAATGTAGATCTCTTCCCAGCTCAGCTCAGAGGTGTCAGGGCCTTTTTTAAACAGCCCCTCTGTGCTTGGCAAGGAGTAGCAGGGAGGGGGACCTGAGCAGGCCAGAATGGCTACTGGCTGCTGGTAGGATCTGAAGTCTCTCTTTGGCGCTCAGCATTACCATTGCTCTGTCCTGGGCCTGAGGCATGTCCCCAACGTGTGCGAGGGCTACTGCAAATTGAGGGGAGGGGGGGTCACTGCAGCTCTTTGACCTTGCTCAGGCTGTCTGCCTTGAAGCAGGACTTGGCCTCCAGCATTTTTGTGGAGTTCCCTGCAGAGGAAACACTCAGGAGTTTCCTATTTCACAGCACCAAGAAGCTGAAGAGCAGGATGTGGGGAGGAGACAGCGCCAGTAGGGGAGACTGCAGTACCCTGACGTGAAGCCTTTGATTGAAGGTGATTCATTTCCTGCTGGGCAGGGGGGCCCGAGCTGCCAACAGGCACTCGCTGCGCACACCGGGCACTCGTGGTGCACACCAGGCACCCTGCGACCCCTCTCCCAAGGGACCTCCCTCACTCTGGGGGGGGTACCAACCTATTTGCTTGGTCTCACTTACCTCAGGCAGCTGAAAGGAGCACCACAAAGAGCACCCGGAGAGGAACCTCAGCGCTGTGCGCAGCGGTGTGTCTGGCCCTGGCCACACACCTATCCCCTCCCCCACCACCATGATCACATCCCGCTCCTGGGCCACCTTCCCTCGTGCTGCCCATAGACCAAAAAGGCCACGTGAGCCACAGCCCTGCTGCACGGCTGTCTGCAGACCGGAAAGGCTGTTCAGACCCCGGCAGGATCCCATCGAGAAACGTCACCAGAGCATCACAGGAAAGGCCAAAGCAAGGAGATTCACAGTGCTGAAAACAAAGCCCTGTCCCCAGCAGGCCTCAGAGCAGGGAGTTAATGGTTAACCCGGCACTGGCCACCGGTTGGGAGGTGAGAGCAGCCTTGTCCCCAGAACACAGCTGGCAGAGCGTGACGCAGGCAGACGCAGCAGGGCTGGTGTGCAGTGCTGGTTTCAGGCCACAGCTCCTGCAGGTTGTTTCTGCAGAGCTCAGCGGAGAGGGCTATGTGTGGCCCATGAGCATTGCACCAGCCAGCGGGGGTGGCTCTGGCTCCCAAGCGACAGGCTCCGCACTACAGAGAGACCATGGTGGCTCAGCAAGCTCTGCCAGTGGGACCAGCCCCAATGCCCCCTTCGTGGGAAGGTGTAGGAAATGGAGAGCTACCTCCACAGGTGGGTGGGCAGAGGGGTGAGGCAGAGGGGCTGCTCTTCCCTTTCCTCCCTCTTCTTCTACATCCCAAATATTCCTGCAGCATCAGCTCCCACCTGGATGGAGTAGGAACCCACACACACACATTTGGCACCCTGGGGAAGCCCTACTGTGGAGGCCAGTAGAGGCTCAAGCTCAGTGAGCAACTGAGTGCAAAGAGGTGACCTTGCCCTGAAGACAATGGGCTTCTGCAGACAGAAGAAACAATTGCCCCAGGAGGTGACCTGGGGTGGTCCAATGCAATCTCTGCTAGGAAGGAAGGGGCTTATGGGCATAGATCCCTGGGAAGGGACCCAGTATTGCTGGTGAACCACCCATCTTGTTGTTCCACCAAACAATGCTCCTAAAGCCGGTTCCTACAGAGTCTGGACCATGGCTAATAATGTGCCTTTGTATCTGCACAGGATAACGCTGGGTGAAGAGTTCGGTGTGGGCCATGAGTCAGGATTTAGACCCTCTGGCTACATTGTCACAGCTCATGGGTCATAAAGAGCAGGAGAGGGATATTGGGACTGAGTCACTGATACCCTCTGTGGATGTCAGAGGCTGCTCAGAGGCCCAGAAGAAAACCTGATTTAGGAGGAAACACTCAAATCTTCGAATGAAGCAGAAAATTGAACTCAGCAGTTAATTGCATGAATGAATTACTAGTGGTGTCCCTCAGGGGCTGATGATGTTTAATGTCTTTATTAACAACAGAGATGACGTGGGATGGAGCATGCTCTCAGCAAGTTCGTGGATGATACTAGACTGGGAGGTGGGGGGAAGCATGGCTGATACGCTGGAGGGCAGGGCTGCTATTCAGAGGGACCTTGATAGGCTGGAGAACGAGGTGGACAGCAGCCTCAGCAAAAAGAAGTCCAAGTCCTGCTTGGACAGGCACCAGGACAGGCTAGGGATGATGGCTAGAAAGCAGCTTCACAGAAAAGGATCTGGGGAGTCCTGGAGGATGAAAAGTTGAACAGAGGTCAGCAGTGTGTCCTTCTGGCTAAGAAGGCCAAACAGACTGGGCTGTGTCAGCAAGTGTGCAGCCAGCAGACCAAGGGAGGTGATCCTTCCCCTCCGGCTCTTGTGAGGCCACGTCTAGAGTGCAGTGTCTAGTTTGGGACTGCCTGGTACAAGAAAGACACAGATGTACTGGGCTGAGTCCAGGAGAGGCTACCAAGATGGCCATGGGCCGGAGCAGTGGACATACAAGGAAGCACTGAAGGAACTGGGTTTGCTCAGCCTGAAGAAGAGAAGGCAAAAACCTTTTGCTGCCTGCACCTACTGAACAGGAGGGTGTAGAGAAGACAGAGTCAGGTTCTCCTCTGAGGCACACTGTGAAAGAAGCAAAAGATACAAGATGCAAGAAGGAAAATTCCAAATAGATATTAGGCCTTTTTTCCCCCTCCCCATCGTGAGAGTGGTCAAACACCGGCACAGGGTCTCAGAGAGGCTATGGGACCTCCATCCGTGGAGGTACTCAGAGCTCTACTAGAGGCGGCCCTGGAACTCCCCAATACCTCCCCAGCTGACATGATTTACTGCAAGAGATGAAAGAGGCTCAATCTACTTAGCTTAATAAGGAGAAGGGGGAGATGTAAAGCAAGATCTTCTACAAACAAATATGTGGAGAGAAAGTATCCATGAGAAGTCTTCTAGCAGAAGGCCCTTTAACTTCTTGGCATAGCCAGAACTAACCCCAGTGCTTGGAAACAACGTAAACAAATTAGTATTACAAATAAAGTGCACATTTATAAGATTGAGGGGAATCAGCCAATATAAAATATTACCTTAGATGTAGTGGCTGCTTTAAGCTGGTCATGCTTTGAGTGAGGGCTTGGACCAGAGACCTCCAGGGATATTTCCAACGTAAATTACTCTGGCTGTTCGTGGCTGTTCTTCTCCAGCCTGTCACTGATAACCAAATATCAGAAGGAATGGTGCAGGATTCAAACACTGGGACTATTATTAATGCTAATTAATATTGTTGGGGGATGTTTAAACACGACTTGTTAAATAAATCTGATAAGGCAATAACTTGCTCAGCTTGTAAAGGTACTGAACAATCTGACATGGTTGTATGGACTTCAGATTTCTCTCTCTCTCTTTTTGGAAAGTGAACAGTTCTCATCCTAGCTCTATTTCACATTTTTAGCAAAAAAAAAAAAACAAGCAGAAAAGAGGATGATAATTTTCACAGATAGCTGTGAAAAAGAATGTGGCAGTGGCAAATATAATAAGGACAGTTCAGTTAAACAGAGCCATCTGAGTCACTGATAAAGTGAGATCAAAGACTCTGAAGGGCTGTATCCTGGAAACACTGAAAAGGCTTAAATGCTCACAACAGAAGTCTCATCTACAGAAGCAGCTGACGTACTGCTGCAACTCAGAGGCAGACCCT